GGRAAAAARAMCMRGGKTWWTTKGGGRRRAAWKGGGGGAAAAAAGGGCTTTTTTTGTTTCCATAAATAATAATTTCAGTGAAACACACCTTTTAAAAAGTTACTCCATCAGAAAGGTCTCACTCAATTCCAACTCCCTCCTCACAAACCAGTGTTGATTGGAATAACCCAGGTTACATTAATTCTCCCTTCAGTGTGAGGAGCAGACCCAAAATCTTGACTTTTCACCTCAAAAAGCCTCTAGTTTTCAGCAGCCAAGGACACCCCAGACCTGCTCCAAGGGGACCTGCTCCGATTCCCTTCAGCTTTGGGATTTAAGCCCTGAAATCCAACCTTTTCACCTGGGGCTTGTCACAAAGACTCAGCAGAAATGTATAAAGCCTCTGCTGAGGTTTGGGCTCAACAAAGCACCTTTAGTCTCCACTTCTCCTGGGTTTACCTTCAACCATTACAACCTGCTCTTGGTTTAAAGCTGAACAAAACCAAATCCACTTTCCAAAGCCTTAAAATTGTGCCAATTCCCAGGATGTGCTGCAGTGTCCCACTGGAAAGGATCACAATTCCGGGGCAGAAATGTTTCATTTTTCTTTTTTTTTGCCTAGATAAAATCCCTAATCATTTCTTAATTTGGCTTTGAAATGCCTCCCTGAACTATTTCAGCCTCTGAATGTATTTTTTTCCTCCTGTGTGCCATTAACTGGACTGTTGGACAAGTGTTTATAGGGCTGGGGTATGATCCCAAAAAGGCTGATGGCAGGAGGAGGTGAGCCTGGGAAAGGGCTGCTGGGGAGGTCCCAGAGGAATTGTCTTGAAAGTGTTCAATTATTGCAAGAAGAAAGATGTTAAAAACACAGATTTTGGCTTTTTGGCTCCAGTGAAACAATTAAAATTTGAGATTTGAGCCGCCCACAAAAGCCAAATGTTCTGATCTTCAGCTGAAATAGGAAAATATGAACCAGAAATGAGTATTTCCAGATGTGGTCACGGATACTTTGTGTTTCCTGGTTTTTAACTGCTTTCCCACTTTCGTAATTCTACACTTTATGTCAACCTTAATTCATAAAATGGGAGGATTTAGGGCCAAATTCAGCCTGGCAGAGCGTGCAAGTCCTCTGGAACAAGCAGAGTCAGACCCTGGATAAATCAGCCCCTCTCCCATTTAACTTGTGCTCTTCATTCCATGTGAAGGATCAGACGTGTTTTAACACCATCCCTTCAGTTTAGGGAAAGAAGCACTAGATTTTTGGGCTGGCAATGTCACCAGTAGGTGCTGGGAATCAACAGCTTCAATTAAACATCCCAAAAAACCAAAGAACCTACGCTGGGGTCAGCTGGATAAATCCGGGGAGGAAATAGTGCTTTTTTCCCCCTGAAATATTTGCTTTTTGCTGCAAGACTCCAAACACAGATAATTTGCTGGCAAGAGAAATCTTGATTTTCCTTCACATTAATTATACAAGGGAGAAAGAGCAGTTTTTAGCCTTTCTTTGTCACCTGCACTGTGCTCTGTGCCCCCTGAGCTGGATCATCCCCCCCCCCCATGGCAATGCACGGCACCAAAACCAAACACTGCAAAGGTTTTTCCACCTTGCAGGCAGTGGGAATCTCTGCTCTTTGCTCTTTCCTGCTCCTCTCTGAGCTCTGAACACACGGACACGGGATGTGCCGTGGCTGGGGGACAGCTGGAAGCTCAGTTGAACCTCCCAGGTTTCCAGCCAGGCCTTCAGCACTGCAGAGGTCACTGATGTGGGCTGAGCTCCACATCAGAGGGACATGGAATGGTTTGGCTTGGAAAGGATCTTCCAGAGCAATTCATTCCACCCCTGCTTGTGAAGTGACCAGAATTTCCAGGGGTCAAACCTACTGGAAAAGTCTCCCCTCCTGGAAGCCCAGAGGGGAATTTAACTTGGTCCAGGCTGGTCTGGAGGGGAAGCACCAGGATCTGAGAGCCTTAGAGGGAGGGATGAAACCAATTAATTCTGCCCCTGTCTCTGAGCTGCCTGCTTGTGAAGTGACCAGAATTTCCAGGGGTCAAACCCACTGGAAAAGTCTCCCCTCCTGGAAGCCCAGAGGGGAATTTAACTTGGTCCAGGCTGGTCTGGAGGGGAAGCACCAGGATCTGAGAGCCTTTGAGGGAGAGATGAACAGGGGAAAGAAAAACGACTTCACCTTTTCTCATGGAATGGTTTGGGTGGGAAGGGACCTTAAAGATCCCCAAAACCCCTGCCATGGGCAGGGACACCTTCCATGAGCCTGGGTTGCTCCAAGGGCACTTCCAGGGATGGGCAGCCACAGCTTCTCTGGGCAACCTCAGGGTCTCCCACCCTCAGAGGGAAGAATTTCCTCCTAATATCTAATCTAAACCTGCACTTCTACAG